GAACGGTCAACTAAATCTAGCGTGAAATAATTTCTGTCGTGTTGTAACATTAAAAAGTTGTGCAGTACAATTGTGGCCAAAACGATTTTGTCTACGTTCTTCGGACAAGCATGTATGTTGGTGTGTAAAATCCTCCAACGATTAGCCAAAATCCCAAAACAATTTTCAATGTGGACGCGAGCTTTCGACAACGTTGCATTAAACTTGTCCTTATCTGCTGGTAAACTGTGGCCCGGAAATGGTCGCATCAGATTACTTTTTAGCGGAAATGCGCTATCACCAACGAAATAGTATGGAAAACGTTCCGCTGTACCAGGCAAATTAGCGTCACTAGGAACATCAATGGTTCCATTTAATATTTGTTTTCCAAAAGCACTCCTAGCTAGAACACCACCGTCACTTTGACTACCTAGGGCCCCAACGTCCACGTAGGTAAACACGTAGTTTGCATCGCATGCTGCCAACAAAACTAAGCTGTAGGTTTTTTTATAATTGTAATATAACGAACCACTATTTCGCGGGCGGGTTATGTTGACATGCTTTCCGTCAATTGCTCCTAAGCAGTTTGGCATTCCGGTCTTGACGTAAAACTTTTGCGCGATGATTTCAAACTCTGCTGGTGAAGGAGGTGAAACGTATATCGCATGCAGCTCGTCCCAAATAGCATCGCACGTTTCGTAAATAATTTTGCTGTCGACAAACCTAACTTGAATGCCCAGGCTAGAATTTGACAATTGCATCCTTGAGCCAAGTGACTGCAATTATTCAAAGAAGAAGGATTTTATTAGTAACGTAATATGCGTGTCTTTAAGATTATTTATTTACTTACAAGAATGTTACGGCCAATCGTGTTTCGGGGTCTATGGCATGCCTATTGGAGAACCGTTGCAACCTTTCTTTTACCAACGACAACAACAAATCGAAATTAGCAAGGCTCATTCTGGTTGATTTATAGAAATGCTCCTCATCTTTGGATTTAAGTTGTTGGACGCATGTCAAATAGAAACCCTCCTTCTCCCGAGTCAAATTTACTGGGCGTACCCACCACCTCCTCTTGCTTACTTTATGAAAACGCTCGTACGCTTTGTAAACCAATTGGACGATGCGCGTCATTTTGGTTACTGAAGCCACAAAATTTACTAACTGGGCTGAATGGCTCATTTTTAAATATTTTAACGAAAATTTTTAAATATTTAAACACAAATTCGCAACACAAGGTTTCCCAAGTTTCTGTAATAAAAAATAAATGTCAAATAACAGCTGATGTCGCTGCTGCGTTCTAAAAAACCACGGCGCCGTCGACAAAGCGTTTAGATAATGTAGATAAATCCTTAATGTCGTGTCGTGTGGTGGCGTCGTTTTCGATGTGTTCAGAGCAATACGCTTTATTTCTATTTGACACGTAGATCATGGATCCACAGTCTGGCGCCTAAATTTCATTGGATTTTAGTTTTTTTTTTGGGTTTTCTGCGATTTGCAAGCTTATTTTGCATTTTTCGTAAAAAATGGTTAAATACAAATATGTAGAGAATTTAATTTTGTTGCATAGAAGGTTTTTTAAAATAGCATTTCTTATTGTAAAAAATTGGCAAAAACTGCGAAAAATTTTACATTGTTATGGTTTTCGCCATTATTCTAAGGAAATATTTCCCTTGGCTCCAATAACATGGCTGCTTTAACATGAGTAAACGATTTGACTCAGTTTAAGGAAAACACAATTCCTTAGTTTGTAGGAAAAATTTACTTGCCATTTCATCCCCCGTGAAAGGAATAAGTATGTCATTTTGTTCGTGGCGCTAAAACAGTGGCAATGGCCGACAGAGCAAAGCTCTGGAGTCACGGTTGCCAACTTTTGGATTCTTGAAACCGGGACGCACAACAAGTCTGTTCTTTTGCTCGCCCGCAGGTGCCCGAAAGTGGTAAATTTTTGTCTCTTTGGTAGATTCTCGGGCTGTTGAAAGCCATTTTGAGCTAGTAATATTTGCTCTCACTATCCCGAATTCGGCCTCACTAATTTTCTGGACGAGTTTGTGAAAACCAGAAGTTATTGCAGAGGACCATCGAAATGTGGCCCTCTCTTGGCCATAAATTTCGCACTTACGCTTATTTGCCCAAACCTAGCCCTAAATATAGAATAGTTATTAACAAAAAATCACCAACAACATCATGGTCAAGTCTAAATAGCAGCAGAATAGCTGCCCGAAATAGCAGCTATAACTTCTATCAAAATGTAAATTACTGTTGTTTTTCCACAAAAAATTTCATTAATAATAATGGCCTCAAGCTCAATCAAATAGTTGAATATAATTGTTATGAGGCCATAAATAACAAAAAGAAAGTAAAATTTCATATACATATAAAAAATTTCATAAAACGAAGCTTCAATGATAATATTTCTAAATTACTTAAAAACTTTAATAAAAGTTTACTAAAAATGTATGCATGTATAGTGCCGCACTAAATTATTGTCACCAGGAATTTCTCACAATGTATGCAACATTTCTTACTTAAAATTTTCGTCGAATTTTTTATAAAAATATTGCTTATACTACAACAAAAAACATAAACAAATCTCTTAACTTCGTCCCGGCAGGTATTGTACCGGGACCGGGACATAGCTCTTAAATCCGGGACAGTCCCGCCGAAAACGGGACGGTTGGCAACCGTGTCTGGAGTGCTAGTCGAGAGATGCAAGGTTCAAGTCCCAGAGCAGGAATTTTTTTTTTTATATTTTTTTAAATTTATTTTTTAATTGTATCTTTTTAAATTGTATTTAAAAA